GGGATGGCTTTTCTCTGTTCTGTGATGTCCGGAGCCTCAGCTGGGAAGACCCACAGGCTGGTGGCAACTTGACAGCTGGGGAGTGGAATCACAAGACTGGAAGTTGATGGCAATGGTCGGCTGGGACCTCAGCTGGGGCTGTCAACTCCAATACCTACACACGGCCTTTCCATGTGGTTTCCTGGGCTGCTTCACAGCAGCGTAGCTGTGCTCCAAGTGTGAGCACCGCAGGAGAACAAGGGAAAGCTGCATCACTTTCTATGACTTAGCATCAAAAGTCACATATAGTGTCGCTGTCATCGTCACAAGCCTGCTCATGCTCAAGGACAAAGAAGATCAATCCCCTTCCCCCAACCTCTCAATGGAAGGAAAGTTAAAGTCACATTTTAAGAAAAGCATGTAATTTGAGAGGTGCTATGTTAGTTCCTGGGGCACAGGGACCTGGTCTGGTATTGCCATCTAAGACCTGACAGGGCACCTGGTTTGGGCCAGGAGCCACTCTGAGAACAGGACAATTTCTTCTACACCATTATCCCATAGGGGACCTAAGTGCAAACAGCCAGTAGTATGGGTTTGACAAAATTAAAGAAATCCAACAAAAAATAAATAAAGACCCCTTTGAATTTTTGGAAAGGATTTATCAGGTTTATAGCAGATCCCAAGGTCCCTGAAAATGCTAGAATGCTAAATATGAGAAAACTGCAAAAATTAGATGATGTATTTGGAATAAACCCTTCACAATTGGTAGGTGTTGCTTTCAACATAACAGGGAAACACTCATTCTAGAAACTCATCACTTTACCCAAGATTGTCCTTATATCCATCACCACCTCACTCAGCTCATGTTTTGGCTTCCTTGATCCTACACTGTCCCTCTTTGTTTTAGAGAAGTTTACCAGCTGGATATGTGGGACTGACTCATGTTTGGCAGTATCCTATGCCAGTTCTTCACCACCACTGGGCCTACTCAGTGGTAAAATGCCACATCTCAAGAAATGGTTTCTGAGTTTTGGAAACTCCCTCACATCAGAGTGCTGCATGTTCTTAGAGCCTGTCCCAGTCTTGCACATTAAGAGGTGATGGCCCTCCAGAAGGTGAGACACCCAGGCGGCTTTCAAGAGAACAGATTTTTGTATTGATATCAGCAGCTTCCATTAAGTTAGGTTCCACGATGTGCTATTCTAGCCTTGGACCCTTTTTTCCCAAGGAGCCTGAAAAGAAAGGAACCAGCAGTACAGTTATTGGTATGATCGCTGGATGGTGTGCTTTGTCGGACTTGGGGGCACCTTTGGTTTTTGGAAAAAATCATGTACATATTGGAGCACAATTTGTTCGTAATAAGAAAGTTTGTCTCAGGAGGAATTACAGTTCTCTTTGGTGTATGGGAACAAGGCTTAAAAGAACCAGTGTTTATTGCTATGCGTTCTCTAATGAGAATAGCTGGAGCAGTAAGTTTTGCTGCAGCAATGACTGCATCTTCTATCCTTACAAAGACGTGTCCAAATGATGTGGCGACAGTATTGGGAAGTCTTGACACTTTTTCTGGACTGGGACTAATGCTAGGGCTTCCTTTTGGTGACTTCTTGTACCAATCCTTTGTCTATGTAGTGCCTTTTATTTTTCTGGGATACATAGTTCTACCATCAACATGTGCATTTTACATAATTATGAGTCTGATCCAGGAAAATAATTAAAAAGGTGGGAGCCTCTCATATGGTAAAAAGAGAGGAATACTCTGATAAATGAAGAGGCTCAGGGGCTCCCTTGGACTTGAGGCCCCCAATTCCAGTTTCCCCACAGGAGCCCCGGGTAACTTTGACAGTAGGGGGGCCAATGGTATGAGAATCCAAAAAAGGCTGCCTCTTTGGTATTTCAACTGGTATTGAGTAGTACTATTAACTCTTTGGGAAAAAATAGCCAAAATAAAGCTTTGTCAAATTTATTAGTACTGTCTCTGGTCCTTGAAACACTTGAATAATTGTGATGCTATTTAAGGAAAATAAAGTTAAATTTCAGGTCTTGCCATTGCCATTAAGAACAAAGTAGACAGGAGACTTGGCTTTACCTGGGTGTGTACTTGAATATTCTGCACCCGAGGCGTCTGACCTCTGTCACTGTGGCAAACTCAGGAGCAGCTGCAGCGAGTGGTTACTCCGCATGCACCGCTTAGTTTAGTTTCATGTTTGCATATGGATGGTTTTTAAAAGTCCTTTTACATATTTAGTAACTATAATGCGTCATAAGTTAATTTAACTGTAAGTTTAGTTTAAATCAAATATGCAAAGTTTACTTGAGTTTTGAAAGCAAATTTTGACTGTTTACAGAATTGTTTAAATTACAGTTTCTCAGACACGTGAGCTTTCCTTTTGGGCCTTTTGCAGATGCATATTAAGGGCTTAGTGTTAGGATCTGCATATGTGGGGCACTGAAAAGACAAAGGACTTACAAATAAACTTTTGCTTATATTTTATTCCAAGACTGGCACTGCTGTCAATGGAAAGTATTTTTAACTAATCTGTTATTGAGAAATTAATCATATTTTTGCATTTCAGCCAAAATAAGGACCATAGCTAATATTCTGTAAGATACAGTTAATCCGTAAACCTGAAATTCATGTTCCATATGATCTGAACAGTATTCTCCAACTTAAAATAAAAATGCAGTATTGATTCAGAAAAGTCTGTATTTTTCTAACAACTTCACTTTATATTATTTTGTTGGGTTGCATAAAACACGGAATTATATTTGTTTTAAAAGCTTAAGAAAATTATTAGTTGAGTTTATTTTATTTGTACATCATTGCACATGAGTCCATGCCACTTTTTTAAAAAGGTGGACACTATTTTAAAGTGATCTTTAATATGTTTTTTATATAAACAAACTTGAAATAGTTTACTTGGTGGTCTTTGCTTATCAAGTCCCATAAGTCTTGTATTTGTTTCTCGTAAGTGGAACCCTGGACCATAACTTCATGTTAACTCTTTGCTTTGTCTTTTGGGTGGCCTAACCTACATTAACATGAAGGCTGAACGTTTTAAAACTTTTTTTCAAGAAATTATAATAATGATTTACTTTATTAATAAAAAAGGAATCTTTTGTTGTGCTTTCATGAGCACTTACACAGGTTACATGTGCTATAGAAACACTGGACACAGTCCAAAGTGGTTAAAGCCCTCCTTAATGAAATTGTCCCCCGAATTGGACTGCCTAGTACTCTTCAAAGTGATAACAGGCCTGCTTTTGTCTCTAGCATAACCCAACATGTGTCTAAAATATTGCAAATTAACTGGAAACGACATTCATCCCAGAGACCACAATCAACAGGAAAAACCAAGAAAATAAATTATACGTTAAAAAAGAGTATTGCTAAAATATGTTGAGACTAATTTAACTTGGGATAAAGGCCTTGCCAGTTGCCCTGCTACAGATCAGAGTGGCTCCTAGAAGCAGGCTTAAATTAAGCCCCTTTAAAATATCATATGGTAGGCCATTTCAGGCGTCCCCCAGGCAGGAGAATCTACAAATGCTCTTAAAGTCCTAGCAATTGCCAATTATGTTAAAACTTTGGGCACTCTACTAACCTCTGTTCATGAGTTTGCCTCCAACAGGTCTGCTTATCCAACTGAAGTAGCCTTACATCCCTTCCGACTTAGAGACTGAATCTTGTTTAAAATCTGGAGGGAACAAGGGCCTGAGCTTCAGCTGACTGTAAAGTGGACAGGACCACACGTGGTATTACTTACCTCGCACTCGTCTGTCAAGTTAGCTGGGGTAAAGCCATGGATTAATCACATGTAGATTAAAGCAGCACCACCATCATTGGAATCAGAAAACAACCCGACTCCTGAGAGGCCTGGGGAACAGTGGTTTTGTGAACCCTTAGAAGACTAAAGGTTATGCTTTAAAAAAAGATAACTATGGAGATTATAATTTCACTGTAGCTGAAAAAAGGTCAACCTATTTTGTTTAATCTTGTCTAAATGAATAGCACAGGAATCTAGTGTAATTATGTACAGTAAGAAAGTTAACATTAAAAGATATGTACTGGGAACTGGAACCAAAACTCCAAGTTCAACAAAGTACTATGGAGTCTTATCAGGTTGAAGTGGTTGTAAATAAAGAAAAAAAGAGAGAGAATAATACTATCGACTAAAGATTCTAAGAAATGTTCCCTGTACGAGGCTGATCAATGCTATTCCATAATCACCCCTTCATTGCCCCTGCTCAGCAGGAAGTAGCCAGAGCGGCCATCACCCCTCTTCCCAAAAGACTGTGGAATGGACATTGACAGAGGTGAATTGTAATAGGAAAGAGCAAACCTGACTCCATATTAGATCTGCTCTTTTGGCTTTAGCCCTATACCCCGTTTGCTAGACTTAGTCTTGCTAGCTCTGTACCTTTTGTAAAAGAATGTTGCCTACAGCCTGAAATATACAGGAGAGCCTATTTTCAAGGCTCTGACCTTTAGGGGTATTAACACTTACGCATTCATATAAAGATAACAAGTGCAGAATAGAAAATAACATTTGTTTTGTTGGAGGCTTATAGGGACCCATGTGGACACCTGCAAGAACAAAGAACTCCTGCACCAAGAAGTTTGCAAAAACCAACCACACCCTCTCCCATTTTTAGTATAAAAGGAGCCTGAATTCTGACTTGGGGAAGATAGATCTCCAGGAGATGAGTCTGTCATCTCCCCTGTCTGCCGGCTTTCTGAATAAAGTCACTATTCCTTGTCCCAACACCTCATCTCCCAATTTATTGGCCTGTTGTGCAGCGAGCAGAATGAGTCTGGACTCAGTAACACCCTCTCCAGCCCAATAGCATGAAAAAAAGCCTTTAAACTATTATACATTTACAGAGATACCATTACAAATACCAGATGGTCACCAATGACTATTAATAGAGTACTGCTTGATTAAAACACACTTCTAGATATATAGGTTTTAAAAAAAGTCCATTTGCCTCCATACTGCCCATGCATTTTTCAGTCCCTCTGGCCTAAATTTCCAGTTCCACATTCCTAGGGAAATATTTTATTTCAATGAGAACTATTCCTGGGAATCTAAGTCCTAAGGAGTGACCTGCTCATGCTAATCCAAATGGGACTCTCAGAACCCTGAGGGACCTCTGCTACCGGGCTGTCCCGTCTTTCCTAAATGGTCGAAGGAGATGGACATTTTTGGTATTTTTTGATGGGTAATTATTATCCATTATGTTATTTATTAGTATGACAAAAAAGCATATGTTCCAAAGAAAGAAAATCAGACATCAACCCAAAGTTAAAACAGATACACCTAGAATCCCTTTCCATTCTGATCATACACAAATATCTTACCATGATGGTTCTACACGAGTGTTCTATACTCTTGTCCTGCAGTTTTCAGTTCATATCAGAGCCATTTTCCTATTTTTACAAAATCTTCACATAAAAGGAAAAGTGCTATATGGAAGAGATTATTACCAAGTAGCTGCTGGGGAAATGATGTTGTAAAAGGATCCACTGAAATGCCACTTTCCAGTCTAACAACCACAGCAAGTTTTCAACCTTCTCGGCAACAAGCCCACCAGTGCTAGCATTCTCACTTATTCTTTATTGGAAAAGAGGTCTACTTCACTGGCAGTCACTTCTCAGAATAGTGCCCATTTAATGGTAATTCTCTTGGATTCAGGTTGAAGTGCTTTCTCTACAAGGAAAAGTGCCAGTATTTATTACTTTCATGGGAATGTTTCATAAGGGCCAAGTTTGATTTTCTTATGTAGAATTAAGTAAAATATGTGATTCATAGTCTTTCTCTCTTTCCTCTCTAGAACAAATTTCCAAATACACAATAACAGGGGGCTAACTGAAAGCTTTCCCACACACATCGTTTCCATGCTAGTTCTTTCCAATACATGTAATCCTGGAGGAATGGAAGGAGGGGGAAAGGGTGGAAGTGAAGGAGGGAGGGAGGGAAGAAGTGAGGAAGGGAGGGAGGGAGGGAAGAAGGGAGGAAGGAAGATACATATAACCTAAAAGATTTCCAAACTAGTTACATTCATAGGGTTTCTCTTCAGTATGAGTTGCCTGATGCCTAATAAGTTTAGAGCTATTAATAAAAGCTTTTCCACACTGATTACATGTAAAGGGTTTCTCTCCAGTATGGGTCCTCTGATGTACAATAAGTCGAGCACTCAAGCTGAATGTTTTTCCACATTGATTACATTCATAGGGTTTCTCTCCAGTATGAGTTCTCTGATGTTGAGTAAGGCATGAACTCTGCCTGAAGGATTTCCCACACTGACTGCACTCATAGGGCTTCTCTCCAGTATGTGTTCTCTGATGCACAACAAGAACATAACTCTGGCTGAAGGACTTCCCACACTGATTACATTCATAGGGTTTTTCTCCAGTATGAGTTCTCTGATGCATGACAAGGTGAGAACTGCGGTTGAAAGACTTCCCACACTCATTACATTCATAGGGTTTCTCTCCAGTATGAGTTCTTTGGTGTGCAACAAGTTGAGAGCTCCAGCTGAAGGATTTTCCACACTGATTACATTCAAAGGGTTTCTCTCCTGTGTGAGTTCTCTGATGGGCAACAAGTTTGTAACTCTGACTAAAGGACTTCCCACACTGACTGCATTCATAGGGCTTTTCTCCAGTATGAATTCTTTGATGTGCAATAAGTTTATAGCTCTGGATAAATGATTTCCCACACTGATTGCATTCGTAGGGCTTCTCTCCAGTATGAGTTCTTTGATGTGCAATGAGTTTGTAGCTCTGCCTGAATGACTTTCCACACTGGCTGCATTCATAAGGCTTCTCTCCAGTATGAGTTCTCTGATGCACAACAAGGACATAGCTCTGGCTAAAGGATTTCCCACACTGATTACATCTATAAGGTTTCTCTCCTGTATGGGTTCTCTGATGGGAAACAAGGTGGGAGCTGCGGCTGAACGATTTCCCACATTCGTTACATTCGTAAGGTTTCTCCCCTGTATGAGTTCTCTGATGTGCAACAAGATGAGAGCTCCAGCTGAAGGATTTCCCACACTGACTACATTCGAAGGGTTTCTCTTCAGAATGATTTCTCATGTTTTGAACAAATGATGAACTCTGGGAGGTTTTACTACACTTATACTGACTCTCTTCAACAGGGAATCTCTGTTTTTTATTATGGGATATGCTATGGTTCAAAACTTGCCCATGTTCCTTAAAATCAAAGTATTTTCCTTGTGTGTGTATTTTCTCATGTATATTTAGGGGTGTACCATGGCTAAATGATTGAATACTGTCAGTAAATCCATAGGATTTATCTTCTGTTTGAGTTCTTGTGAACTGAATGAAATGAATGCTCTGGGGGAGGTTTCCACATTCATTATTTTCACAGTGTTTCCCACTGTCATTAATCATCTGATGAGTATTTACTGTAGAATTACAATGCAATTTTTTAACATGTGAGGCATGTTTATGAAAATGGTTTCTTACAGGTATTATCTGGGGTGAAAGAAGACTGGAATTCAGATCACCCTTCTCAAGGTCATCACTTTTGCAGACTCTCTCATGAGTCGTAGCTTTTCTGTGAGTAAATGTCACTTCCTTCAAAAGTCTCGCTTGTTTTCCTTGTTGCTTCTCCAACTGGTCCTTACAATCCCGAACTTCTTCACATGAAGATAACCAAGGGTCATCTCTTGTCAACCTTTCTAACTTCACTTCGAGGGATGGTTCGTCATGAAAAATGCTCTGCTGTGATGTTGATTCTCTACTTCCAAGTGCAGTTGCTGAGTCTGAAAGAAAGCAAAAGAAAACATCCTAGCGCCAAAATGTTAAAGCTGGAGTAGTGCGGGGAAAAGCTGACAAGAAAAGTATGCAAAATTTATGTGGATTTGTTTTAAGCTATGCAGACAGTGGATCTATAACCTGAATTGAGAAAGCAAAAGAATGGGATGAAACAGTAAGCAGAGAACTATCACAGTCCAATAGCATAACAAGGCATTAAAATGAAATGACTCCCATCTCAGTGTTGTTGAATAAAAAGACTTTAGATGTCAAACATCTCCACATTCCAAAATAAGATCACCTATGCAGAACGTACAGAATTACAAAACAATTTTGCAATCCTTATACATAGGCACACACACAAAAAAGAGGGTCCTTTCTACCCTTAGAGCTAGAAAACTGTTCACTGAAACAGAGATTCATGTTTATATTTCTAACAATTTCTGGAGGCATGAAACTTGCTAGCAGTCTGTGTTAGTAAGACAAGGGCAAACTATTTTGTGAACCAGGTACAAAGAATGGGGGCACTGTTATCTGAGGGTCCCTAAATGCCTTAGGAGTTAAGATGGCCCCATGGATTCCTATGGTTTCAAGTGAGAGAGGACGGAGATTAGCTCAGAAGCAGATGCCTGGGTGTCTACTAGGCCAAGTAAGAGAAAAAGTACCCTTGAAAAAGGAGTGAGAGATGGAGAAATATGTGGCATGCCTTATGGGGATTTTCCAAACAAATCCTCCATACCTGTAATGACTCCTAAGTGTCTGTTTCTCACCTGGATATGTGTATTGAGAAATCCTTTTTATACTTATCCCCTTGTTCCAACAGGAGATTGTGTCTGGTTTGAAAGGCTGATAGGGAAAGACATAGAACTTTGGGCATTTGGCCTGGAGACAAAAGAAAATCCATGCAGAAATTTGGTCCCAGTCTTTGGCCTTTAGAAACCAAGAAGACAGAAAAAGCTCAAACACAAGAAACTGTACCTTTGCTACTCTACAAATTAAAATTAACTCTTCAATGGAGTATAAAAAGCACAAACATAATTTATGTGTGGCCAAAATCATTCTGGCCTCTGAACTCCCTAGGTCTTGATCAATGGAAATGAGAAATCATTTCAACATGTGGACTTCATTAAAGGGGACTGTATTCTTACCCCAAGAGACCAGGTCCCTGTGGTCCTCCAGGATCACATCTCTGTTCAGGGTCCTCTGAACAGCGTCCAATGTACCTTCTTCCTCCTGAGTGAAGTCCACAGTCACTATTTTGAAGTTTACTCCTTCCTAAAACAGGACACACATTCCTGCTCAGCTGAGCATCATTTCCTTCCAGTGTTCACAGAGGAAGAAAAGTTTGACAGATGGAAGGAGGAAAGCCTGATGGCCTGGATACTGTCCTGAGATGGTCAGTGTCCAAAGGATTCTAGTCAAGAGGTACAAGTACCTTCTAGGTGAGCCCCTTTGGGTTTTGAATGCTGGACCAGTTTATATAACCCCAAAGAGGAACACCAGATAGAAACTGACATATAAATTGTTTTTGCTCTTGTTCACCTTAAATAAAATGCTTATTCTGATTTTAGCATTGGTGAATATAGAATTCCTACTTAGGAATTCCCTCCAAATTTCCAAACAGCACAAGGTCAGCAAACTTTTTCCGTCAAAGGTCAGATAGTAAATATTTTAAGCTTTGCAAGATATACTGTTTCTATTACAACTACTTAGCTCTGCTACTATAGCAAAGAAAGCAGCCACAGAAAATATATAAACAAATGGGTGTGGCTGTATTACAATAAAGCTTTATTTATAAAAACCGGTGATGGGCCAGATTTGGCACACAGGTTTGACTGATGCTTCAGATAGAAAACGGTCTGAGGGCCTCAATGAAAGGCAGTATGTATAGGTTAAGAGCACTGGATTTGGAAAAGAGACTTGAGTTTTCTCATCTATTAAGAGCATGTGTCTGAAATTTTTTAAAAATACGTCTGATCTGACCATCTGTCTTTTGATGGTGAGTTGATTCCATTTCTATTTATTAGGCGTCACACACCCAACTCACTCTGCTGTTGAGTGAATTGATTGTAATGATATATGAAAGCAATCAGCAGAGTTTACTGAACAACAACAACAACAAAAGGCTGGCAATTATAAGGATTATTAGGTTTGAGAACCCTGAAAAATTAAGGGACAGCCAATGTGACCTTTATCCTGGACTCTTAGTCTTCAGGAAACAGTTCTATTTTGCCCACGTGCCAAGCTGCACCATAGGGCCTGTCGTTACTGCCATGTAAAGGGGGTTTCTTGGTCTGCTCCTCTAAGCAGGAAAGACTACTGGGCAGGAATTTTGACCCAAAAAAGTGCTGGGAATGATCTGTCCTTACCCAAAGGCAGCAAAATCCACAGAAGTTGAACGTCACTTGCCAAGGCTTTAAAAACAGACGGGGTATTCTTTTTTTTTTTTTCAATTGAAGCATAGCCAGTTTACATGTGTCACTTTCTGGTGTACAGCATCGTGTTTCAGTCATACATATATGTACATATATTCCTTTTCATATTCTTCTTCATTATAGGTTACTACAAGATATTGAATATAGTTTCCTGTGCTATTCAGTAGAAACTGGTTGTTTATCTATTTTATATACAGTAGTTAGTATCTGCAAATCTCGAACTCCCAGTTTATCCCTTCCCACCCCCTTCCCCTGCTGCAGAACGGGTGTTCTTAAGCTGTGGTTCATGAACAGGACACAAGGTCCCTGAATTTCATGCTGGTACCTGCATTTTCCTAAATTGTGGCCCATAAATCTTACTAAAATCTCAAAGGTTTTCTTGATTAGCCCAAAATGGGATTCAGAAATATCATTTGCAAACTGTTACTTGTGTGGAACATGGGATTTATAGGTACTGTTTTTCAACTTCCAATCTATGCTTCTTAATAAACACCCCCCTTCACTGTTTAATGTAAGTTCCTTTAATATCAAGCTTGTTCAAATGTCAAACAAATAATAGCAGAATAGATTAGCCCTCCAACTCCACCCTAGAATATATGTCCTCAAAGTTCCAGGGGTTTCTATTGTAAGACTCACCATGCTTTTTCATCATTTGCAGAATGGTCATCTTTGTCACCAGGCTGAAATCCATGAGGGCACGGACAGGTATTTAGTTAACTTCAGTGCTTAGTACAGTGTTGGTGTATAGTACATACAAAATATGTACTTGGTAAATAATTTCCGTAAGTGAATCAATAGTACCAATGGACTTGGTAATACACCAAAATAATCCTAGTTCAATTTCTGATTTAAGTCCTCCCTCACCTGAACCTCACAAGGCCTATCACAAACCCATTTGAAAAAGCCCTCCGGCCGGTGGAAACTGGTTTTTCTGGACTTTCAGTCTCTCTTATTCTCCCCCTCCTCTCACCTGTCCCCAGCTCCCCACTCCTCCAAATTCCTTCCCAAACACTTCAACTGTGCCCTTGGGAACTCTTCTTCAACAATAACGAAAACTTACAGCTTCACATCATCACTAAATATCCTCTCTATATCCCTGTGTACATGGAAACCTACACTTCCCCGAGGACTCCCTCCTCCACAGCCCTCAGAGGCTCAGGGTGGTCATGCTCTCCCATCCCGGGGGTCTCAGCATCAAAGGAGGAGGGTATGTGTCCTTCCAATTACCCTGAAACTCATGCCACTTGCCTCACGTCTTGGAGCTTGGTTCTACCAACCTCTTGAACACCACCCTCCTCATCCACTGAAGATATATAATACTAGGATTTATTCTCTAATTCAAGAACCTGTATTGCCTGGTCTTACACTGCCTATGGCATCCACCTGTAGAGTTCTCTGACAATAATATAAAAATAACTGACTTTAATAAACACTTACTGTGTGATGTCAGGCAGTGTGCTAAGCATTGGCATAAATTATCATTCATCTAATTTTCACAAGGTCCCTGTGAGAAAATGCTATGAGCAACACCATTTTTCAGATGAAGAGCTAGAAGGTTAGAGAAATTAACACATATACCTAAGGTTAGTGACTAGGATGCCACCTCGAGTTTGCCTCACATCACAGACCGTGTTCTCAGTCATCAGTTCATAAGGCCAGCCCGACGCCCAACCCCTCACTCTTAGGGTGAGACCCCAGGTCTTGAAGTCACCATAAAGGATGCTACCACTCAAGTCACACATACAGAATGACTCACTATGATTATGACATCAGATTGCTCCCCTTTACTTAACCACTCCCTCTACTCATCTCATTCTTTGATAGTTTGGGGCTTTTACTTTATTGAAATACCTATGATTCCTATCTACTGGCCTATATTCTTTTTGTTTGTTTGTTTAGCATCCTCTTAATCTTTTCATCTTTTCCACAGTTGAGAGTCTGTGGATCCTTCACTTTAATCTTTCTATTTGATATATTCAAAAATCCTCTTGCAAATATTACCTTGACCTGTGGGGCTTCCACTAAGTGTACCTGGCTACAAAGACCAAACAAAACTGAATGTCAATCTGCTATCTATGGAAAGGAGGTTACAGGGTGCCACTGCAAGGAAAACCCACAAGAGCAGCTGGATAGAGTATTATGAATGGTCAGTATCTCAGAATGAGCCTTTTGGGCTGACCAGCAACCCTACTCTACCTCCTGGAGCAGCGTGGCTCTCATCATTCAAAATTACTATTGTAAGCCTTCTTCACTGTTGGCAAACATCTCTGCATTCCAACTCCCTCACTCTTGCTCCACAGATAACTTCCTCTGATTGTTCAGAGAAAAACGCAAGCCTTCAAAAAATTCCCTCAATCTCATTCTTTTTATATGAGTCCTTCTTCCTCTACGGAGCCAATGGGCTCGCATGCGCTCTGAATTAATTCCCCTGACACGAATCAGAGACTCTGCTTTATAGTTATATCTCCTCTCTTTCCTGAACAGTAACTTCTCCACTTACTCTTTCCTGTAACCACTTAAACACAGCCAAATCTTTTCAATCATTTAAGGGGAAGGAAAGAAAGAAAGAAAAGTCCCTCAACCTCAAATTTCCCTGCAGTTATCACTCTGTTCAATCTTTTAAAAACATGACAACCAAATTTTTGTAAAAAGCTGTGCACTCTGATCTTCATTTTCTCACTCTCTATTCACTTCCCAGCTCACTTCGATCTGGCTTCTGTTGCCCAGCAGCCATGCACATTTCTCAATGTAAAGAAAGAGATCAAGTCCAACTCACCTGGGATGGGATGGCCAGTGACCCGGCATCTTCCCTCTCGACCTTGACGATAATCTCCTGGGGAAGGAGAGAGTCCTGAGAAGGCAAAGCAGATGAGAAAACAGAGGGAAATCACTGCTCAACACTCCCCCTTGAGTAGGCTAGGATTTGACATACCACCTGCTTTAACATCTCCCACCTACCAACTCCCTCCCACTGGTCAGCTAAAGCTAACCATGTGGAGAGACAGGGGACATCTGGAGGAGCAATGAAGCACCAGACATGGCATGAGGTCTCTGTGCATCTTCCAGGCCAGCCCAGCTACCAGCTGAATGGAGCTGAGCAACCCTAGACACTATATGGGAGAAAAGAACTGTCAAGCTGGGCCCTGCCTGAATTCCCCAATCACAGAATTGGAAGCAAATAAGATGGAAGACAGCATGACCAAAGGATGATCAAGAAAAAGAACAACAAATTAACTTCATAAAATTTTTGACAAAAAGCGCCATCAATAAGGGCACCATCAATAAGAATCTATATTGTTATGATTTCTTCTTAAATCAGTAAGGAAAAGGTAGTGTCAACAGAAAAAGGAATAAAGGAAAGTGCACACACAACTCAACTATGAAGGAAAATGGTGAGTGAATATACAAAAAGATGCTCACCTCTTTCAGTCAGAATCACATCTCTCTTTCTGTACTATCCCTGTACATTAGAGACCATAAATTTACACTGATACTTCCAATCACAACGCAACAACACGTTTATTCTAGCCTCCTGGCTTCCTGTATTTGTACCCTTCTTCTCCGGCTTTCTTCATCCTCTTTATATTTACTTACTACTCAAATCCCTGTATGTAGCCAATATCCCAACCATGTGGAGTGTTTCTTTGGACTGTTGCTAGTGACTCCTGCCCTGGTGGCCTGTCAGTCAAGAGCTTCATGTACTCTTTGTGGAAATTTAAGTAGATACAACCTTCCTGGATTGGCAATATTTTTTAAAATAACATTTTATTTTGAAATAGCTTCATGCTATTTCAAGAAGCTCACAAGAAATTGCAAAAATACATGAGAGTTTCTGTGTACCCTTCACTCACCTTCCCCCAATGCTAGTATCACATGCAACCACAGTGCATTGTCAAAACCAGGAAATTGGTGTCAGTGCAACATCTTTAACTCAGGTACAGACTTGATCCAGATATCATCAATTTCTATATATACCATTTGCTTTTTTTTTAATGGCAACATTAAAAAAATGTAATATTCAATAAGTTTACTTGAAAGCATGTCCTTAGGAAATAAAAGAAAGTAACCTTAGATGCGGGTACAAGAAATCTCATTAAAGGGTTACATTAACATAGCAAAAAAGGGAGGGGGGTAGTAAGTATACATCAGTAAGTGCCTGGTTAAATAAATTATGCTTTATCCAGATAACTGAATACTATTTAGCAGCCAAGAGAAGAAAAGATAAATTTGCATGGATTGATGCATATAAATGACAGAAAGATGTCTATAATATCTTTGTTGAATGAAATTAAGAACAGTATATGTGGACTGTGAATAAACTTTTCAGAATATAAATATGCACAGAAAAAAAAGCACTGAAAGTAGTTATTTTTGGAAAGGTAGAACTGA